GCCTAAAGGAGATGTTGGTATACAGGAGCCTGTTGCAGCAGCGCTTTCAATAGTTTTTGGTAGTTCGAATTTGTTTCATGAACTGTTGGTTATTTTATATTCCCACATAATTGCGATGTTGAGTTTCACCTCCACAAATTAAAGTAATTGGCAGCGATATGCAGATTGCTCTTCTAAATGTGAGCGATCAATCACACGCAGCAGCAGCAGTTATTCAGTGGAAAGTGGAAGCTGCCAGTCTTAAGTGTTTGTTTAAATGGCCTAAAAGGTAACTCCTCTTTCCCGCTGCACCTCTTTGCTCATTATAATTTATCTGTAAAGGTTACATCTCATTTCCCTTCTGGGAACTTTGGGAAAGTGCTGATACGGCAAAAAAGTCGGTAGAAAATCCACTTGGGCCATTAAGGCTGAGTGAGAAAATAAACTCCCAAATCTATACGCCGGAGCATGTGGAGGGATTAGACAGTACAGTAGATGTTCCTGCTCTGACTCAGGCGTCCTTGAAAAGACTCCGAACTACGTTCTTTGAGTTTTAATGTCAACCAAATGGCAAAAAAAAGAAAAAAAAGAAGTGCTCATAGTTCAGTTGGCAGCTACTGATGATGAGGCCGGTAAGGAGAAATGTGCCTCCTCCATCCAGCAGCAGGATTTTGAGAAATCACAAGAAGGGTAAAGACATAAATGTTGGAGCCTGACTCATGTTGGCAAAAACCAGCCAGAGTCGTAAAGAACCGTTTTCAGGGAAGTGAGCTGTGGCAAGTTTTCTGAGCACTAACTACCTGCCCAGGACCTTCAGAAACTGTGTGCAAGTAAATGTGGTAGTTTTACAGGAAGTGCTGATTTATTGAAGGTTTTTTTGGTTCGTTGCACTTTGTATGAAGTTAGTTAATAAATAAAAACTAAACACCAGAACTTCTTCACAGTACTGCATGTGTACAACAAGCTCATAGTATTTAAAAGTACTGAACCACTTCTTTTTTACTCTATGACCACAAAATTAAA